ATGACAACGTCCATATTATGCATGTGCATACACCCACGACACATGCTCAGTTCCTTCAAGAATCGCAAAGCACGGTAGCCGCGTTGGTGAGTTTCCCCATGACGGCGACAGCCAGGGTGGGGGGGGGGGGGCAGCCGGGGTCATGTGGGTACGTGAACGGAGCGCAAACGCGGTTAAATTCCATCACAGCTCTCTCGGCGGCAAAAATGGCGGCCAACGCCAAAAATGACGCTCAGCGACAATCCGGCGCGCCGGGCGGCACGTGCGCCTGTTTGTCGGTCAGACGCCGCCACCCACGCACGCGCACCATCAGGTACATATAGGCCTGTCCCGGGGGGACCGACGCCATCTCCTCGTGCGCGCTGCCGGGCCACCATGCGCTCCGTCCTGGCTCTGCTGACGCTGGCCGGCTTGACCGCCGCCGCGCGCCGCCCGACGCGCTGCGTCGGCGGCGGCGGCCGCCTCACTCTCTGCATCGACACCAGCGGCGGCTTCTCGGGTGGGCCGGCGCGACTTCCGCTGCCGCCCAGCCAGCCGCGCCGCTACGACCACGGCGGTCTCTACGGCCCCGAGTACTTCCGGCACCGCTACGGCGCCGCCCGACCGCCTGGCGTGTTCGTGCCGGCGCCCGCACCGGCGCCGCCGTCGCCACCCCCGTCGCCCGGCTACGGCTACCGCTACGGCTACGTCTCCCAGCCGCGGCCCGGAATGTTGCCGTCGCCCTCCGCGTTCGGCTACGTCTTCCAGGGTCGCCCCAGCTACGGGCCGCCGCCCCGATACGGCCCGCCTATAAGCCCCCCGCGATACGGCCGGTCCGGCTACGCCCCGCAGGGCCGGCCTGGCTTCCTGCCGCAGCTCCCAGTCGTGCTCCAGCCGCAGCAACCGTACCCGGTGGTGCAGCAGCCGTACCCGGTGGCGCCCCGGCCGTACCCGGTCGCGCCCCAGCCGTACCCGGTCGCGCCCCGGCCGTTCCCGGTCGCGCCCCGGCCGTTCTCGGTCGTGCCGCCGGCGCACCAGCCGGGGCCGTTCTACGTCCGTCCGTACGTCGGCGGACCTCAGTAAGTGCCGCTGGGCAGGTCAGGAGCCGTGCAGTCGTGCTGCGAGCCTTGGCTGACCCGCTGATGGATGATCGTAGACGCTCGGGTGGCGCGAGCTGCGAGTAAGGGGCAGTGAACTTGGCTGTAACGCGCCCGAGTAGAAGCACGGGTCTGTGTGCCATAGCAATGTACCTGATGCATGGAATCAAATAAATAGGGCTGCCAAAAATATGGCAGGGCTTACCATGAACGAACTGATTATGACACCTTGCTGCCGTTGGAGTAATGAAGGCCAAAGAGTTATCCATCAACTGCGATACAGGAGCTCACATTTTCCGTTATTTCTTATTTAATGGGTGCACCTGATCAGCCAATGTGCAGGTTTTGTAATTATATGGATTCGAACCGTCGGGAAGGATTTTTAACTGACGGCTCTGCGGCCGACCGAAGCCGTCGTGAGCACCAAATCCCTGCCCGCCGCATCGGTCAAGCCCTTGCCTCCGTGGCCTCCGTGACGGGGTTCACTCGGAGATAAAATCCAGCCAAATGGTGCAGCGCACTCGGCCGCTCAGCCGGCTGGCCCTAGCCGGGCCGGGTCGCGGACGGCACAGTCCGGCCCCCTGACGACCCCCACCGCTTCCGCAGACTCATGCCGCACCCGGACATCCGCTCCTTCTACAACGCGGCCAGCATGCTGGGCCACGGCCGGGTCAGCACGGACGGCAGGAAAAACGTCGAGTTCGTCTGCGACTTCGCCCTCGGTGGTGTTACGCCCGGCGCAGATGTCCTGACGGTGCGCGCTTGGAAAAGCCAGGGGAGGGGTGACGTCCTAACGGGGTGCGCTTGAAGAAGCCAGGAGTAGGGGGTGATGTCCTGATGGTGCGCGATTGGAGAAGCCAGGAGAGGAGGGGGTAGACGTCTGATGGTGCACGTTTGGAGAAGCCAGGGGAGGGAGGGTCGTCCTAACGGTGTGCGCTTGGAGAAGCCAGGAGGGGAGGGGGTAGACGTCCTGACCGTGCGCGCTTGGAGAAGCCAGGACGGGAGGGGGGGGGGGGGCGTATCGTTAGCTCGTGCATTGACCAGTGCTGCCGTCAGAGATCATGTGTCTGTTATCAAAATTTGAAAGGAATAGCCTGATGCTTCTGTAATTTTCATCTGGATTCATATAGTCGCCCAAACGGTGATACCATTAATGTCACTAAAACATCAGCGGAAATTATTTTAAAGTTATGAGGCCTGAACATCAGACGCAGGATGAAGAGTTTGGACAGTGCTCATGGCTGCGTCATCTCCCTCCACCAGCGCAGCACAGGGATGCATCAGTTGGGCAGGCCCGGCTCGTGTTGTGCCGCGATGACAATCGTGACACTGCAGGCTGACCATGTTGGCCGCGTGGCCGTCGGCAGGACGTGGTCTGGCAAAAGGTGGGCCAGCCCGCCTACATGAACAACCCGATGACATCC